ATGATTTTAAGATGGTTGGACTACAAATCCCAGAATTCTTCAGAGGAGAGCCAAGTTGTCTGGGGAATTCTGGAAGCCAAAGTCCATCCAATTTTCAACCAGAGTTGAAAAAATCTCTAGCATAACAGATGGCAACACCTGAATTTTTGTTTTTACTGGTTTCTGCTTACATTTTAAAAATACATTATGTACTGCTTGGAGTAAAAGCTGTTTTCCTTTACTCTCAGACCTCTTTTGGAAAGGAATAGAAGGCTGATTTTTTTTTTTTTAAAAAAAATCCTACTTTGAATAGCAGGAGTCCACGTGTAGCTGTACAGTATTATCTTCCCATTTGAGATATGTTGAGCAATAAGTTATATTGTTTTGGCCAGCAGCAGTTGTGCTGGCTTGGAATGTATGTACTCCTAGTCACATAAAAATATTTGCTATTACTGTGTTTCTGGCATTTGCTGGCAGTAGCAGCAGCAGAGGTGGTATTCAGCAGGTTCTGAACAGTTCTGGAGAACCGGTAGCGGAAATTTTGCATAATTCGGAGAACTGGTAAATACCACCTCTGACTGACCTCGCCCCCATCTATTCTCTGCCTCCCGAGTCCCAGCTGATGGGGAAGAAATGGGGATTTTACAGTAACCTTGCCCTGGAGTGGAGAGGGAATGGAGATTTTACAGTATCCTTCCCCTGCCACGTGCACCAAGCCACATCCAAGCCACACCCACAAAACAGGTAGTAAACGTTTTTGAATCCCACCACTGACTAGCAGGGATATCCTTGAAGCATCCATGGGTATCCACAGATCAAATTGTTTTTCAGAGTTGTTTCTTTTGGGTGCTTTTGATTTGTTTTGGAGAAGTTTATAGCAGGGCCATGTTTCAATGAATGTTTGGAAAAAAATAGTCAATTACAATACTCTTTGGGAGAGATGATGGAAAAAGCTGACTGAAGCAACAATGGGAAATAGCATCCCGTTTTGAATGAAACATATCTCCACTTTCACAACATCTCTGCACTTTGTGCTAATCCACTTTTTGTTCAGTTTGGGTTTATGTAATGTGTTGTATTTGTAATCCAGCTCACTGTCGCCTAGGATTGCACTGTTTTCTTCTCTAAGCCTTGGAAGAAGTTTCTTTTAATTGCTTTTTGTTGTATAGGTGTTCTATGTAGATTATGGCAATAGATCAAAAGTGGCTTTAGACCAGTTACGAGAGATTCCAGGCGACCTCCGAGAGCTTCCCTTTCAGGTAAACTTTTCTCTAGTTTTTAATGACTGACAGGACAGTATTCTGGGGAAAGTCAGAATATTTCATATTCTTGGAAAATATATATATATATTTGTTTTAATATTTTTTGTTCAGGCTCTGGAATTCAAGGTGCGTAGAATACGTCCCTCTGCATGGTCTCTTGTTTGTGGAGAACAGTGGAGTTATGCTGCGAACCAAAGATTTGCTTCCTTGGTCAGTGGCCATGTTCTGACGGTGAAGATTTTCTCAATTGTCCATGGCATCTTGCATGTGGACGTGTTTCAAAGCTCTGGCATTGCGAACATGGTGAATATCTGCACCATACTTATTGAAGAAGGCTATGCAGAACCTGCAGATGACTCTTATGAATCAAAAGTAAGAGATTTTTCTCTTTATGTCATTTCTGTTAGGGAAACCATTTGAACTATAGTATGCATCTGTCTGCCTGTCCTACCACCCATCTCCTTCTTAGAGATGCTCTGGGTGGTTTCTTGAATTTGTGGATGGAAAAAACTAAGGAGTTGAGGATGGTTAGTGACACCCCTTAAACACTATTGTGCTTCTCTTTTGTGATTGTACACAGGAACGTATGCTATTTTGGGGCATGTTCTAATGCCCTTACAAAAGGACATTTAGAAAAGATGGATTTTATTGTGAGCTGAAATTGATTGGGAGATTTAACATTCTCATGATTTAAGTAGAGTGTAAAGTTACTAACACTACACAGCTCAACAGCATATAGTGAGGATAACTTTATTATATCAATTCAGCTTTTATTGCTCCCCACCCCCCACAATTCTGCCTTCCCCTCCCTTCCCTTCCCAGCTCTGTGCTAGGTTTTACATATGCAATGTGTAAAATTCTTCCATGCATCTAGTGAAAGGGACTGTGATCCATGAAACCTTAGACAATACACACCTTAGTTCCCTCTAAACGTCTGTTGGTTTTTCCACCGCCTAATAAATTTAGAAGACACAGGTAGAGTACCACAACTTCCATGCAATATATTATTTTTGTAAACTACATTATAAAACAGACGTCTTGAACTGACAATTTCTTCTCACAGCTCCTTTGGCAGACTAGAACCAGTTGAGCTTGCAGTTGTGGGTTCCCTTTCAATTATTTTCACTGATGATCTTATTTGAGGAATACTGCCTATGACCTTGTGTTTGCCCTGCAAGAATTTTTTGTTCTCTATTCTTTGTATTCTACTTGTTGCTTGGACTTTGCTTCTCAAGCTTTCCTTGGTGCAGTTGAGTCTTACAGTTTTCCTTATGTGTGAGAAAGAATTTCTCACTTGTCATGAAGAAGGGTGAAGATATGGAGTCTTCCACCGGAAGGATTAAAAGTAAGCTTGTTGAATCCTGTATTTGAAGCCAGAAGAAATAGGAAATGGGCCACAGTGCTTTTTATCCATTGAAAAGAACGGTTCCACCACAAAACCGCGGACGACAAAATCGCGGTCAACGAAACCGCGTATGTGACGTCATCACAGCGCGATGAAAAAGATCGAAAAATGTAAAAATAAAGCGAAAACCTTACCCTAATCCCCCCAGACCTAACCCTAAACCTAAACCTAACCCTAAACCTAACCCTTAACCTAACGAAAAACCTAACGCTAACCCTTAACCTAACCCTTAACCTAACGAAAAACCTAACGCTAACCCTTAACCTAACGCTAAACATAACGCTAACGCTCTAAACCTAACCCTAACCCTTAACCTAACCCTAACCCTAACGCTTACCTTTATGTGAATTGGCTTGCTGTAATTTAATTTTTATT